AGAGGGATGCAAAAGACAGAGAAGCAAATCCGAGAACAATGCAATGCAAAATGTTGAAAAGGCATGAAGAGCAGATGCTTCCCTTTTGGAAACTTCAAAGGGGGAGACAGTCCAAGTTGGAAGCAGCAGGGACACGTTCATATTGTGGTGCTCGTGCCACGAGATCCAAGCGAAGGCGCTGCCGCTCAGCCATCCCAGAGATCATGGGCAGAAAACAGAATAATTATTTGAGTTTAGAAATCGAAAAGGAACCTAGAAAGCTGCTCTGTACTGAGCCAGATCACAGGTCCACCCAGCTCAGTACTGGCTCTTTCCTGACTAGCAGCAGTTCTCCAGGGATTCAGAGAAAATTCTGGCAGTGCTTGGGTGGCCATGTATCCCCACTTTATTTATTTACATCAAATACTCTTCTACTTGACGGTATCCTTTCTCTGCAGGGCTGCCTAGTACAAGCCTCATTGAAAGAGATCAGAGTCCAGAAGTTGCCCAGCATCAGTCAGCATCTGGACAGCAAATCCAGCAGACACACAGGATTGACTTAAATCGTAGTAATTACTTCTCTTTTTGCATCTATAGGCATACATTAGTTCAGTCGAATTTATATGAAGCGGTTGACCTCTTTCGTCCTCCATTTTGGCCACACATTCTGCGCAAAAGCCCGTGTGGCATAGTGGTTAGAGGGTCGGACTGGGATTTTGGGGATCTGGGTTCTAGTCCACACTCAGACATGCAACTCATTGAGTGACTTTGGGCCTGACCGAGGTTCTCAGCCTAATGCAGCTCACAGTGTTATTGTGAGGATGAGTGGAGTGGAGGATGGGTATCTAAGCTGGCTTGGCTTCCTTGCAGGAGGTGGGGTATCACTGTACTGTAGTAACACATTTCCACTTTTTGGCAATATGAGTGGCTCCCTTATAGACCATAATTCATTTGGAAGCCAGGGTCCCAGAGTAGCTCCAGCTTGTGAAAGTCCTGAGCTGTGGAGGCTTCATTTGCGATAATAAACAAGAATGAACACAAACACACAGAGCGGGTCAGGGAAGCTACCAGGGAAGCCCCAGGACTAAGTACATTAAGCAGACCCTTAGCGCTATACCTGCACGGCAATGGAGCTGAAAAAGTTCTGAGGTGAAAGAAGGGTCAGTGGAAGGGGGTTAATCCAAGGAAGGGCAGGTGGACTGGATCGGAGGAACTGCTGTTTCTGGTCCTCAAAGTTCCATGTGTGCTTAAATAGAAAAGTCTGCCTTCAATATGCAGAACCCCTGGAGTTGTGTATAAAATAGAATCAGGCTATTTTTAGGCAGCAGGAGATCCAACTGCTGGTGCAAAAGGTCACCAAGAATAATGACTTCCTGTTTGGAGTTGCTGTCTTGATAGGAGATTCTGCCAAGATGCAAAAATTGTGGGACAGGATCTCGCCAGAGGAACAACAAGCAACAACAGAGGCATCATCGTAGATTTGACATCTAAATAAACATTTGCGGCTGCTTTTGGGTTTGAACTTGTTACTCACATAGAAAAGAAAATCACCTGAGATTTCAGCCAAAAACAAAGAAGTTGTGTATCTTTGTGCCGTGTGCTCACGGGGCAGTCCTGTCTACCTTGTGTGTACGGGTATAAGTGGAGCCCTCATGGCTACAGCTCCAGACACGTGACCTTGATGATCTGTGGCCTTTTATTTGGTTTATTTCATTTTTATACTGTCCAGTAGCCAAAGACAGTTAACAAAAGTAAAAGCTAAACAAAAGCTTAAACACACACACACAAGTAAGTTAAAACAGCAAAGTCACTATTGCAATTGAATCAGCACAGAAGAACAGCAGCAGCACCAGAAAAAATGCTGGGAAAATCAAAAGGCCTTTACCTGGAACCAAAAAGAATACAAAGTAGGTACGGGTGCACCTCTTTGGGAAGCTCATTCTGCAACTGGAGTGCCACAACCAAAAAGGCCCTCCTCCTGGTAGCCACCTTCCTTTGGAAGGGGCTCCCAGAGAAGAATTCCTGAGAATGGCCTCAGGGTCTGGGTAGGTACATATGAGAGGAGGGGATCCTTCAGGTAAGCTGGCCCCAGTGCCTTTAGGGCTTTGAATGCTAGTGCTAGCACTTTGAATCTGGCCCAGACATCAACTGGCAGCCAGCACAGCTGGAAGTGAACTGGTATAATACATTCTCATGAGCCAGTCCTCTTTCACAGTTCTGCTGCCCTGTTTTGGATCAGTTGAAGTTTTCAGACCATTTTCAAAGGCAGCCCCACGTGATCCAAAACAGAGGTGAGCAGAGCATGGATAACTGTAGCTGGGGACCCTCTATCCAAGCAGGGTCATTGTTGGTATACCAAATTAAGCCGATGAAAGGTGATCCATGCCACAAGTCTACCTATGTCTCAAGTGACAACTCGGGGTCCAGGGGCACCCCAAAGCTATGCAACATGTCCATTCAGGGGAGTGCAACCCCATCCAGGACAGGGTGAATTTCACCCAACTGGACAGACAAACCACCCACTAGCAGCCCTCACTGGGGCCTTTCCCAGTCCATTTCCATGCTCAGACACTGATGCAGAGTGGCCACTACCTCACCTGGGTCTCCCCACACCCCCGATTCTGCTGCTTAAGGGTTGTATATCATAAGACCTGCACACGCTCTCTGTGCATGTGGGGAGCTTTATAAATGATACCTCCAGTAGGCATAGATATGCTGGGGGAGGCATGAAAGAAAGAAAGTGAACATGGCTACCCTGCCATGGATTAAGTAAATGGATTTTCACAAGAGACTGGGCAGAGCATTGAAGTGTGGCTTGACAGATCTGAAATTCAGGTATTTCCAAGAAGGTCCAGCAGAATCCGGGATCCATGGAGGGCCAACTAAAAGCTTGTGCTAATTCGGATCTTCTTTCTAATGTAACCTTATCATGAATGGCTTCGGAAATGTAAGGCACACTTACTGGCCAATGCAATTGCACAAGATGGATATTGGGCAGTGGGATCTGCCATTTCCAAACAGGCATGCCTGGTGCATTTTGAGTACCCGTGTGGATACTCAAAATGCACTTGGCTATGCTCAGAGTTTGCAAATTTACCAAAAAAAAAAGGCAGGGGCAAAAAAGTGACCACACTGTTTCAGGACAGCCTGCTCTCCTTCTCTTCCCCTCCCTCCCTCTCACCTTCCCTATTCCAACTGCTGAGGCTCCAGAGTGTGTAATCCGTAACCACAAGAGTAGATGGAAGGAAAATGTCTATACCTTAATATAGAGTGGTGGTGTAGATAATTTGGGCTGTTCCATATACAACTCCAGTTTCCTGTTACTGATCTGGCAACCTCAAGGTTCCTAGACTCCAGTTTCTATTCCTCTGCCTCAGATATTAAGATCAGCTTTTTCCCAAAGGGTTTGGGGTGGCTCTAGGTACACAGAGAGCAGCCCCCCTCCCAAAGGGCACTGTTCCCAATGCCCCATGGAATCTGGCAAAGCCACTGATTTTTCTAGAAAGAGCATTGGAAAATAAATGGATTCTATCAATGATTTTGATATTAATTTGTCTTTTTTTTCTAGAAAAGGCAAATGGTTTAAAAATCTGATCGTGAGAAAAACAGATGAATGACTCTTACCATTCATGAATGAATGTTTGCTATTTTGGGGAAATGAACAGCACAGGGAGGATAGCACGTTGCAAGGGGATTTAACCTTGTATGTAGGGGTAATACTGAGGTCAGGCACTGCCAAAGAGACTTGTGCAGTGTGTCATTTCCACTGTTCTTTGTTGTGGTTCCTTTGTTTGCATATTGATCTATCTATTATATTGGGTGTAGTTTTCATTATTTTATTTTTGCAAACAGTCATGAAATTATTGAAATGCACAGCTATTTTTGAAAAAGCGAATGCCAATTCTGTTTTAAAAAAAATGAAAGATCCAATGAATTGCAAAGAGGAATGTGAATTTTTGCCTGAATCTGGAGCCAAGCAGTGATCTTGCTGCATCTTAGCTGTACTCATGACACCACTCTTCAGATATGTAATGGGGAGTGATAGACTAATTATAGACCAATTTGGGGATCATAGGGATTTGTTGGTGATTTCTAATTACAGAGGGCAGTTTTAAAAGTGGAAGCCTTCAAGTTTCAAATTTGTCTGTGCAAATCTACCAAAATAACTCTGGCTGTGCTCTCCAAACGAGCTGCCCTTGCAGCAACAGGCCTTTATAGAAAGGGCTTATTTAAAATAGGACGGGCCAGTTTGTTATATCTTCAGCTCCCTTCTGAGGTGCCTCATTGTTTATACCAACATACTGAGTACAAAATGTTTCCAAGTTGACATTTTGCTAAATTTACCTTGGTGTCTCTGCTGATGAGTTAGCGGGTATCTTCAGCAGACTTTGGCCATTTGTTGTGTGGCAGTGCAAGGACAATCCTGTAAATGTACATTATGGGATGTACCACACCTACGTAGCTGCAGGAGCTGGAGGTGTAAACCTAAAAGCCATGATCAGAAAGTGTTCAGAAGTGATCCTCTGCTCAGGTGCAGGGAGCAGAGGGTCAGATCCTGTTTGCTTTCATCAGCAGTCCAGCCCACATGAATAGATGGTTCAGAATCCATCAGGCTGCCTCCGAGTGCAAGCCTTCAGCTCAGGGAAACAGACACCCCACCCCCTTCGCACATGCCTGGCCAGGGCATTCAGCACTGTTCCATGCACAATTACCTGGGAATGCATCTAATTAAACTCAGCAGGATCTACTTCCAAGTAAATGTGCAATGGATCAGGCTTTGTGCACTTTCTGTATACATATCTCATAAAGGAGAACTTCCAAACCAGAAGAGGAAAAATGCCCAAGACATACTAAACGGGAGATAGCTTAATTCTTGTGCAGAATATACTTTAATACATTAAAATATGAGCATATCTTCAAAAATAAAAGCCTCATAAAAGTGCAACAGAGCAAACCTCCCCAAGAAATACTTTATTATTAAGTAGTCAAGTCCCAACCCCTAATGCATTTGAGGTCATCAGCAGCCTATGCGTATCCCACCAGCCTCAGTGTGTTGGGATAGGTCTTCCTCATCCCCATGCATTTCTCCTGGTCAATGAACAGAGAATTTGCTTTGACAGCAAGCTCATGTTCCAGGTTGGCTTTGGTGTGAACCAGTGTCTGAAGTGTATCTTCTGCATCTCTCAGCCTCTGCTGAAGATCCTGGATTGTCTCATCAATTTCATGTACTTCATTCACAAGGCTGCATGGAACACAGCAAGAAAGAAGGTTAGCAAATTCTGCATGGCAAAGGTGGCTATTTCACTGTTCGCACGCTTTATGAATGCTCTGCTGGTTGTTAGTGCTTGGGAACAGTGACCATTAATAACACAGTCATCACTCTTCTTTAATTTAGTGTCCTTCTGATGGCACTATTTACTTCATTTTATTTAAAATACTTTTACATCACCTCTTATCCAATTGTTCCGGGAGAATTTACAAGATGTAAGAACACATCCTAAGAAAACCATAACAGTTTACTTACTCACCCTACCTACCCAAATTTGCATATACCTGTTCTTCAAGACAGCACTCCATGCACCTGACTGAGTGGCTCTAGTCCACACAAGCTTTTACCAAAATAAATTGGCTGGCTTTTAAGGTGACACGACTCTTGGTTGTTCATATTAAACCCAGCGTCTGTAACTGGGGAGGCTATGGTTACTAAGGAAGTCCTTGCTCAGGTTCATGATCTGCATGCTGGCTTTCCATGGGGGACGCTAGCATGATACTTTGCCTTATTTTCCTAGAGTATCCCAAACTTGCCTTTTCTTCATGAAAGTGTAAGAGAAAAATTTCAGAGAAAATTATGGCTGATGTGACAGGCTGCACTGCTCAGGGAAAGAAAAAGAAAATGAAAAGTTGTGGTTTCCTGTTCACATTTTGGTATTCTGGTTTGTCAGTTGTTGTTGTTGTTGTTGATGATGATGATGTTTTAAGGCGCCTTTGTCATATAAAGACATCAAGGCACAATCCTACGAGTTTAGACAGGACTTTTTTCTTCTGAACTTGCATAGGATTGTGCCCTAAGCTGAGTAGGCAAAAATGCAGAATAATTCACATAATAAAGAGCGACAAATGTGTGAAATTTGAAGAAAAGCAGTTGGAGTGCCAAGACTGATTTGTTTCCAGTTAGTGAACTGAGTTTAAAAGTCATCCTAAAATGCCAGTGATGGATTTAGACAAATCTATTTAGCTTTATCTATTTCCTGTTGCTAACTGCAGCCCATACGAGGCCTTCAGAGGAAATGTGCAAGAAGGAACAGCCATTCTTTACATAAGATGGAGCCAACTGTCCTATAATTCATTCTCAACATCTAATCAGTCAGAATTTTGGAGTAACCTAAATAGAAGGTTGCATCTCTTTGCTATGGGCTGGATCCAAACTAAGTTAGTTGCACTTGGGCTGGTCCCACTGAAGCCAAGGGGACAAATTAGTTGTGATTTAGTTTACATCCCTGCAAATAACTTAGTCCAAAGCCAATTTTACTTTGCTCTCTACTTGGGTTGCAGAATTTGGGCCTGATTAATATCTTCCCAATCTTTGAAAAAAATAGCATAAGGTTACAATTGGAATGTAGGCCCATAATGGAGCTTTGACCTTCAGAAGACAAACTCCCGTTGCTGCCTGGCAAACATGCTACTGAATTGGTGGTAAATGGACAGCTGACACGTAGGTGGTCAAAGGGCTAAAGTAGAGCTCATGTGCTTGTACACATGACAGGAAAAGAACAGGCATGGAGAGAGCTAAATAGAATTCTTTTCCACCAAGATGGAGCCCTTCCCAATTACTCTTCCATCCAAACATCTTACTAGTGTAAAATTATTATAGTTGCTGTGGGAAAATACACTCAGATACCCTTTTTCCAAGGTGGTTCATTTATTTCCAAAAAAATGAGCCAGCCTTTTCCTCAGCAATAGACCCCTGCTCCTGTGAGGAGATCTATGTTCAAAGGTCTGTTTGTTATCGGAGCGCCCTGGAGGCAGCTTCAAGATGGCGCTGCAGGAAACACCCATAAGGACCTGAGGCCCCAGCAAGATAGACTAAGTATTTGTTTCCGGGTGCTCTTCCTGCCAGGGGAAGAAAGAAGCTGCTCCAACTAGTCTCCTGCATAGGTACAAGCAAAGATCTTGTGGGAGGCTGCCACAGCATCGCTGTCAGCTCAGGGAATCTATTGCGCCAATGGCAGGGCTACACAGACAAGGTGTAACCTGGTGTAAGGCAGACTCCTCTGTGCTCATTTCTAAGGGCTTGGAGGACTCTTTGGCTTTGTATAAAAAATGGATGTCACAACGCCATGTGGCTCCTGCAGGAGGCAAGCTGCTTTCCTCACCGTAGCTGGGCTGAGTCCCGGCAGAGTTCCACGTTGGGCCTCCGTGTGCGCTCGTCTAGGCGGGTCTGAGCCACCTTCAGGGAAGGCCCTTTGTCCCTGATGGCCTTCCGAATTGCTTCAATGGTCATCTCTGTCTCAAAGATTTCCTGCAGAGTCTGCCATTTGGGGGAAGAAAAGGCAACCAAAAACATACATTTGTTTTTAATAAAGGATATATTTTCATACTGATTCTTCCCCCTCCTCGCCTTTTTCTTTCTTGTACTTCTGTAGCAGAATTCATCCAGACCCTGGTATGTGCTAATCCCCACAATTCCCAAACTGTTCTCATTATGGCAACTCACTGACTAAATAAGCTTCTGCTTGAATGCATCTTAAATAAATTACTCTCCCAGTCAGAGCCTGATCTCTGTAAAGGGTAAGGACTCTTGCCTCCAAAAAGATACAGGGAGGATTTACATGAGACAACAAGGGTACAACTCAATGCAGTGTGGCTTATCAACAAACCTACTCACCCACCCACCCCCACAATAAAAGCAACAGACTACTGGGCACAATCCTTGCATAGATACCCCGGGGGACCCTGTGGGAGTGGCCCATTTCCCCCATCCCACCACTCAATGTTAGTGATGGTGGGGGTTGTGGGAACAGGGACTACTGACATTCTCCACACTGGCTGCAGAAGCGCCCTCCAGGGCATGAGGAATCCAAGGTGGCAAGCAGGAATGACATGGATCCTGCATGCTGGCCCTGGGGAGCTCCTCTCAAGCCACCATGAGGGATCTGGGCAGGTGAGAGTGAGGGAGCAGGTTTCTGCTGAGGAGGCTTTCTTGCAAGCAAGCCACCTCTGCCTCTCCATGTGGAGGCTCAGCACAGCACAGCGCTGGCAGAGCGAGCTCGCTCACAGTTTGCTATCTGGACAGCAGCTGCCCATGCTGAGCCATCGTGCCAAACCCCCGAAGGGGTACAGAACAACGGCACACTGTGGGGTTTTCTGCAGCGGCCTCGTTTGTGAGCAAGGGAGCAGCAGCGAGCTCAGTGCTTCTGACAGCCGCCCTCGAGTGTCCCTTGGCTGTCAGCTGTCCATGGTACTCTACCTCGAGGTGCTTGGCAAGAGCAGCCTCTTGCCACCGGTAGTTTATCCATGTTGGGTCTCTTTGCCCGGGATCAGACAACAACCCAGGGGTGGTCCAGCAACCCCAGCTACAATCCATGGCTTGTCAGGGTGACTTATGGGCCACGAACCCCCCAAGATGCCCTAACAAACTGCTTCCAGTCCCACAAGTCATGCCAGCTGCTCCCTCACCCATGAATTACAAGCCACCCTGGTTGCCATCGCATGCAAACCCAGTTATAGTGTTGCAATTTCCTTCAAGAGTGCTTTGGTTTCTACTACTGTGCCACCCAAAGCGATCAGTCGTGATGGAGAGGTCGCGTTTTTGCTGGGTCATTAAAGTTCCTGTGCATTTCTGCAGCAGTGCAAACAGAAGATGGGGCACCTGACATTGCTCTGGTCTTAAGCAACCTGAAACGATATAACGACTGTGCTAATCGCTCCTCTCTGCTTCAGTGGCAGTTAAGAGGCCGCAAGGGTGCGAGACTAGTTCAGTGTGAAGTCGGAACGCACAGACCACCATTCCATTGACCCACCATGCAGGTGTGTGTCCGTTCTGCAGCTGTAGTATCTTCAGCAGAGAGTGTAAAGAGGGCCAGGCATCAGATGTGAGTGTATCCCAACACAAAACCTCTCACCGCGTTTACACTGAATGTCCAAGATTCCTCCTGATTGCTAGGACAGTTGTACTATGGGAAGGAGCTTGTGCAGGGGGTGTGGGTCTCTGGTAAGGGAGGTGTCCAGAGGAATTTGGCACAGTGCTTTTCTCTCTCCCCTGAGATGCTGTGCTGAAGGACCAGGGCAGGGGCTGAACTGGACTCTACTGACATTTCCACTTAAACCATCTCCTAATTACTTTAGAAAAGCAGCATCAGTGCATCACCCCACATTACTAACTCACAAGAAGTGGGGGGGAAACGCTTCACCAAATTAGCTCTCTCCATGTTAAATATCTTCTTTGCATGTAGCTCTCAAAAACACGACTGCCTGTGCCACTGTTACCTTACAATCATTCACGGCTCCATTTCGCACCGTCAGTGAAGCCTTTTCGATATGAAAAGTATACCCGGGGTTTAGAGGAGGGCAAGAGAAGCCACTGAAATTTGAAAATTGTTGAGCCTATGAAAATTGGCAGAGTTTCCACTTGAAAAAGGAGAAAAACAGCAGAGACTTGGCACATTTCTTAAGAATATTTATTCCAACCTAGCTTATTGCACTGTGGTGGCCCCCAACTTTTAACAGGGGACTGGACAGATTCATAGAGGATGAGACCACCAATGGCTACTAGTCATGGTGGTCATAGATGACCTCAAAGATGGGAGGCAGCATGCCAATAAATAATAGTTCGCATTTGTTCTTACATTTAGGAGACAAAGTTGGGGAAGCATTGGGAAAAGTAGGGAGGGATAAGTATCCGTCCCCCATTTTTTCTTGGACCTTTACATCTCTAGGTGTGACGGTCTGCCTTTCCAAAAGGAATTAGTGCTGCACATTCTGATCAGTTCCCATGATAATATCCCAGTGAAGATGGTCTCAGAGCAGAGCTCATCTAGAGTAATCTCTGCACTGCAGACTGAAGCCAGTGTTAAACTGGAGAAATGCTCATTGTTTTCTCTTTTCCCCAGAGAAGTGGGCATGTGCACACTTTGTTGGGAGGCTAGGGGCACTCCACACAACTTTTTCGAGCTACAACTCCTGAAGTTCCCTGACCTGCCAATGAGTTTCCTAAAAACACCCATCCAAATGGGAGATAAACTGGACTGGGGCCATGGCATAAGGAGGAGGGGATTAACCCCTTTGTCCATGCAAGCCAAACATCACCCCACGATGCTGCTATTTCAATGCCTGCTCTTTGTTATGGAAGAGACGATAAAGCAGGGGGTACGTCCTATGCTTTCTATATAACAAACATGCAGTTTGACCCTTAGTCACTGACTCACTAGATGACACAGGCAAGCTCTTCTTCCTTCATCCTCAGACCCTGTGCTACAATCATGGAAATAATATGGATCCCCATAAGGGGAATTGTAAAAATTAATGCGATGATAGATAGGTTAACTATGTATGGGTGCGAAAGCTGGACACTGAATAATGCTGACTGGAAGAAAATTGATGCTTGGAATATGGGGCTGGAGGACAGAAAGATGAACAAGTGGGTCCTAGATCAAGTCAAGCCAGAACCTTCCCTTGAAGCGAAAAAAACACAACTGAAGCATGAGTAGGCAGGACTAGAAGATCATCACGCCGGGGAAAGTCTGGAGTGGCAGAAGAAGAGAAGGCCACTTGTGGGATGGACCAATGCCATAAAGAAAGCTGCAGTCTTGAGCTGAGAAGAGGGGGTTGCCATAAGTCAGACATTTTGGGGGGCTTTCATTCCTAGGGTTGCCAAAAGTCCGAGATGACTTGACAGCACCCAACAACAGCAATATGGCATTGAATTGTTCAAGAGCTTTGGATGCTTCGCTATTGGTTATTTGTCCTATCCATTTTTCTCTTAACTATAGAACAAGATGGTTTCAGAGCCATCAAACAGAATAAATGGTACTCCAGAAAGCTCTTATATGCTCCCATAAGTTCTTACGTGTTCTGGGAAATGTCAGTTTTACCATAATACCAAGCCAATAAAAGCAGATGAACAATGCGGCTGTATACGTGTCTGCTCAAAAGCAAACGCAACTGCATTCAGTGGGGCTTATGTCCAGAGAAGTGTGTAGAGGAATGCAGCCTAAATGCTACAAATCCATAAAGGAGGAGGCACAAGCCAAAGGCTGCAGTCCACATGCATGGAAAAGGGAAGCCGCTCACGCAGGGGTCAGATCCTGGTGGGTGTCTGCACAGATGCCCAACATGCTCACCAGGAATTTGGATCACAGGTATGAGAAAGCGGGCCAGAAACAGGGGGTCTGAGCCCAGGGAATCCAACAGGTTCTCACCCCACAATGCAGCCCTCACATTTCCCTACCTCCCAGGATACCAGCCAAGGCTTCAAAATCATACTCTCATACAACTGTGGCTAAAATGGTTTTTGTAGAATTCCAGAATATTTTTGCACAACCATGTAAGAAAGAGTTTTGCCAGCCACGAACAGTGCCACCCACTAAGGTGCTGCTTAGGCACTTTGAAGGAGCTGTCAGTGTCTGTCAACATGAGACCATGAAAGCCAGCGATTCAGCTGGCTTTTGTGATGTCTTGGAAACAAAAGAGGAGCAAGTGCATTTTTTAAACAAGCCAAAAGAGCCACAGAGAGCTGCAATCAGCTTACGGTTGCAGCAGGGGGGTGGGCAGCATGCCAAGCCCAGGTAGGCCTGGGAAAAGCAGCGAGTGGATTTTGCTGGGAATGCCGCAGGAGTCAGTAGCTGATTCTTGGTACCCATGCTGGGTTGTCACATCATGTGGACCCATATCTAGTCTAATGCGCATCAGCAGAACCACAGATCCATTGCCAGCAAAGACCAACTGTGCCATCGACACTGCATCCCACAAAACCATGGCTGGTCTGCTCCAGAATGTATTGCTGCTGACAACTCATGCAGCCGAGCCTTGTTGTGCAAAGGGAAATGATTAAGTCCGAAGGGGAGGCTTAAAAATAGATCCCACCTTTGCCAGATGGGCCTGAATCTTGTTCTTGGCATCAGCTGTTTCAGAGATACGGTTGGTAAAAGCAACATTGGCTCTGTTAAACTGGTTCCACATTTCATTGGCAGTCACCACGAGCAGTGTTTCAATATCATCCCTGAGCTTGGAGGAGGCGGTCCGCTCACTCTGCGAGCGTAGAATGTTATCATCAGTAAACTTGGCCCAGGATTCTGGCACCGAAATCCTGGGAAAGCACGAGAAGAGACAAACAAGAGAGTTTGCACATACTTGCCTTGCTCTTCATCAAGTAAAGAAGGCTTGTACCAGCTACAGTTGCAATGCATTGCATGTTTGAGAGTTTCATGTGGACTGTTTCTACATTCATTTTTAAACATGTCTAACAGATTGTATGCATATTTTCTGGATATAAATCTTGAGGCATCTTCCTTGGAATTCAGCATTATAAAATTCCAGGTGAAATGAGACAAAGAAGTGGGAGAGCAAGAGATTTAAATGCAGGACAAAGAAATAAGGCAGCAACCAGAAATTTTGAAATTATATTGAAGTTCTCCAAACTCTAGTTTCATCAACCACATTAATTCAAGCACCATGCTTCCTTGATTTTTGAAGTGTGTGTGTGAGAGAGAAGGGGGTGAGATGATCTTTTTGCTTTTTCAGGAGATTCCTAGTCCCCATTTTGCAGTAAAAACATCTTCTTAAATTAAGGGCACAATCCTATGCATGTTTGGATAGACAAATGCCTTAGTTGTAGGACTTTTTCCTGTCTAAGCAAGCATAGGATTTCACCCTAAATCATGCATTCCTTTGAATGGGATATCTGCAGCCATACAGTTGTGTTCTCTGAAGATTGTTTATTCCCATTTTGAAATAAATGGCTGGCTAAAGGCCTATAAAATGGGAAAGGTTACATGAGTCAGTAGAGGCATAGTTCAGAATATATTCTGTGTATGCGCAAAGGGGCATGAACAAGCCCTTCATAATGGCAGCTTGCTCCATCCCAGTGCTCCAGCTTTCCAAATGCGGGTGAATATTACACTTAGTGAGCACCATCTGCTATTACAAATGGAATCAGCTGCTGCTTGTAACAGCTTATGCCATAAACAACTGTTTACGGCTCTTGCATGCATGCACAGTAATCACTCAGTGAATGAAGCACCAGGTGATTCTATGCATGTGTGGATGAGCCTTCAGAGGACATTTCAGATCACTTGACACAAGCGGAAACCCAACATTTTACCTTGGAGGAAAGCAGTCATATGTTCAGCCCAGTCATCAAGAGATAAAAGATCAAGTGATTTACAACACATCTTATGTCTCTGCAATAGTGATATTTTGTACTTTACACAGCACTGGTTGCTCCTTTTGACTTTGTAATATCTGCTGATAAACATCTATAAAAACCACATACTGGGGGACACAGCAGTTGCAACCACATAGCAGCTGAGTTACTCAGCTGATGCAGAACAGACGTCTCTCTGTCTCTAGAGAGTGTGCTCAGAGCTTTCCACAGCAAGCCTGAAAGTATCGTCCTCTGGAGCACTTACTTCATTAGCATTAACATATCTTAAACAGCTCCATCTGCAGTCTTTTCTCCAAGGCTCCAAACAACACTTACGTAGCATCTACACGCTCCACGCCTCGGTAATAGCTGATGCCATCAGAGGTGTTCCTGAGATGGTGACACTTGTCATCAATTCGGTGAGCTGCTTGCTTGTCACTCAGGTCTTTTTCCAGCTCATGCTGGGCTGCCCTATTAGCTCTGTAGTAAAATGGTCCAAAACATGAGCTGAAATGATTGTTCATGCCAAAAACAAGTGTTTACAGAATAATTTGCTTACCTTAGAAGCCTATAACATTTTCATAAACTTTTGTGGTTTTGTGGTCTAAGCTTCAAGAAATTATCTTCTACTTCTTTTCACTGAATGTGAATCTTTTCCACTCTTTTCCAAGACTCCAGATGCTCAGGAGGGTGGACAAGTGTAAGTTATCCCTTTTATGAAACCATGGAGCTTTTAGAGCAGTCAAAACTCAGGCTTCCTTTTAAAATAGGGATTTTAACAGAATTAATCAGAAATTTTGACAGCTACTTGTCAAAACTCTGTGCTCCCATAAATGGAATGGCTTGCATTTTTCCACCTTCTTGAACACCAAGGTCTGGGAAAAGGGTGGAAAAGTGTGAGGACACTGAGAAGAAAAAAGTCTATTCATAAAAACTGGAGGATGTCACTGCAAAGTGGTTTGTCTATTGGCCACCTCTTTCATGAGCAAAGATCACTTGTGGCTTTTCCTTCTCTTGACAGATGAACTTTTGACAGCAAGTACAAAGTAAAAAGTAGACCTATTTGAAGCCTCTTTTAGGGATAGGTGCAGAATCCAGATTGGGGGTGGGGATTTGTGGATTCCTTGGACTCAGTTCCTTGGCCTCCAGCCTGCCATGAGCCCAACTTCCTGGCGAGTGCACTGAGCATTTGCACAGCACCCACCAGGAACGGGGCCCTGCACAACTGCGGTGCAAGTGGCATCCTTCTTCCATGCAGACAATTCGTGCCTCTGCTCACACTGCATGTGATGCATAAGAAAGTTGCTGGTTGTGCAGTCGGGGCTGTGAGTATTTGTGGACTTCCTCACAACTTGGCTCACTTTCTAAGATGGGGCCAAACATGGGAGGAAGTCCATGGACCAAAGAGAGTTGCAGTTCAGAGAGCTTCAGCACAATGCTAGCCCTCTTTGGTCAAAACCCAAGGTTGGTACCTGTTGAACTCTGACAGCAGGTATCTCCCAAGATATTGCCCTGGCAAGGATTCCTATTTTAGACACGCACAATGTGCAACAATGCTCTTGGGCAAGTCCGGATTTTTAAAAAATGCTAAAACTTGTGCAAGTTTCTTGCACGGGAAAAAGGGGGGCAATCTAATAATGGCCCCTCCATTGTGCCACTTGGGAACCTTGGAGGGGATTTCACTGTTTGCCAAATCACCAAAAAAAAGGGTAAAAGTAGAGGAAATGAAAAAGAGCTTACTATTGCAGTGGGGAGAAAAGACAAGGTGGCTTAAGCATCAAGTCCCAGCTGAGGACTGGGGTTGGAGGTGGGGGTAACCCACAGCAAGCCCAACTCTCTGATGGATGCATTGTGGCTTCTGTGAATGGCCAGCCCACACTGTGGCTTCCAGGGATGGGAAAATAGCCTTTGTACAACTTAACAAGGTTGAATATGTATGAAGAGGCACTGGAATCAAATTATCTACTGCTCTCAGGTCTGCTCTTTCTGTTGGCAAAAATGATTTACCATTGTGTCCTTCCGTGTCTTTGCCTCGTCTGTCTCTGTCCCTTTTTACTGGTTACATTCAGACATCATGCCATACTATAGCAAGCAAAGCAGAGTTTATCATGATGAGAAGGTGTCCATGCAAGTCCTGGGCTTGCATATGTCCCACTACCCATCTATCCTCTGGCATAGTCCCAAAGACTGGAAGTATATGCTTCTATTTTAGATTAATGGGAGTCTGGCATTATGTCAAAAGAGTCCTAACCTGTAGTTAATCTTAACTATAGTTAATAGTAATAAGCCAGTTTCATAAACCCTACTTTAATGTTGGCTTGTTTCTACTATTATTAAGATCAGCCATGGTTTGTCAGTTTCAGATGGTAAGGCAAATACGGTTAGTGTAAATAAAATGGAAGCAAAAGTTTCTTAAAGTTGTGCTCAAACCAGAGGAGCAGGAGTGGGGGACACAAACCTGAAGCTCAATATATCTCATTCTCATCATGCCCAACTGTCCTTTGGCATGGTGCCCTAATGAGACCATTGTTAGAAGTGATTGTGGAGTATGTAAGTCAATTTCTCCCTAGTTCATGATGTCAGTTATGCTGCCCACTGGTGCTGTTCTCTGTGAGTTCAGTGAGCCATCTTCTGAAATGGTGGCAGGAAAGTACAACAGTTATTAATTGATTCAATGCAGAAAGTGCCACCTGCAAAGCCAAGGGGCATTTCCTGGGGGCTCAATGCTGAGTCAAATGGCTTTGAGTATAATTTAGCAGCAACTAAAAGAGTATATAAGTGGTATGAGGCTAGCACAGGCTCTACAAGCCATACTGCACATGTCTTACCTACCGTAGGTGGATAAGCACATGGTGCACTCAAGATGGCCCTCCTCTGTTTTTAGGTACAGGTATTTAATATTCCTGCCATATAATTTAGGATGGGGATTTGGTGTCGGCCAAAATGTTTGAAAACTCAGTTCATATTGTATGATCAGTATGCTAAGTGATACTGTTCCAGTCTGGGTCTTAAGATCCAGAGCGGGGTCATAAGATGGCAATGGTTGCCTATGAAATGTGTGGAAATAACTCTAAACAGAGCCAGACAGAAGTATGTGCACCTGTACTCTTAAATGCAAATATATATTAATTATGAATCTGAAGAATAGGCTGGACAAGTTGCCTACCCATAAAGAACTGCTCCTAGATCCATGGGGGGAAGCCAGCTTCCAGTGTGCTCTGACATTTATCTGTGTGCCTTCCATTTGAGATGGATTTGGTGTGTTCTGGTCTTGCTAAACGAAACAGCCCATGAGGATATTGGAAACATTTCTCTCCTCGAGTGGCAGCATGCAAAAATTGATGAGGTGTTCACATCAGAATTTGTTTAAAGGCTTTTGGGCAGGGCAGAGGGGAAAATAGAGAGGAAATGTTGCCTTACGCAAGCTGGGCCATTGCCTTCTCCAAGTGTCTTCTCATTCGCTCCTGGCATGAGTGGATGACATCAATCTCCTGGTCAAGTTATAAAAGCAGAAATACCATCAACATTTCCCCGGATTAATGAAGGTAACATGAAAATCAACCCAATAAAAAGCCCTAAGAGGCCACCTCCAACACTGTAACTAAAAATACAATATGAGGTACCATGGTAGCTCTCTGTCCCTCAAAGGCTCCCTGTCAACCCAACCCAAAGAAGGCCACTTCGGAAGAGAAGGCAGAAGGGGAGGATTCGGTTTCTCCAGCACTCCCACAAAAATCATTGGGCAACTTAAGCAATTCTGCTACAGGAATGGCTCAGTCGTGGTTGTCCCAGATCCTAATGCTTATCTGCATTATCGGTCTTGACCCTCCTCCTTCCTCCCATGCAATGGCACTGTCCCACCAAGTGGGTCATTCAGAACACTGGAACACCTGTCTGGCTGCCAAAAGACCCATTTGCCCAGGATTTACTCAGAAGGGAGGGCCTGTTTAACAGCAATGGTTTGCCTGTCAGGAGGAGGACCCGACTGCAGCCAAATAATGAGCAGTCGTGGCTGCTACTGATGAATCAAGGAGAGTAAGTATATAAGCCATTGGTCTTCTTCCTAAACTTTGTCGGTGTAACAGTTCTCACTGAGCTCTTTGCTTGGGACAATCCTCCAGTTCAATATAAGAGTCCTCCTCACTTTAAGAATTGGTTGAAAAGACCGGATGAGGTTCTCCTCTGTTTGTTGGGTAAAATTGGTAGGGGGACATAGCAAACTCATGTAACTCCCTCCCACAAGGATATAATGCAAACCACACTCTGCAGGATACAGGGTCTTCCTAAAACCTTTGCACAGGGAAAATAATATCAGTCACTTGAATGATGCCAATTTAATGAGGCTTTATTCTTTAAGATGGAGGACCCTTTTTTAATTCTAGTCCTTTGTAATCAGTGACTTGGAATGCCTGTAAACAAGATGGTTATTGTTCAAACACCTTGCCTCATTCACAGAAGCCTGCATCAGAGCAAGCTAGGGGTTGTTGCATAAGCTGATAATGTAGGCTAGCCGGTAGATGCATTTCTGAGTAGTGAGGATTTGTGTAGTGTAAAGAATCTTGCCCACATGCTTCTTTGCCTTCCCATCCACTTGTTAATCATGCATCCTCACCAAACCAGAATAGATTTTGTTTAGTTTTGCTTTTGAGTGACACGTTTAACATCCGAAGCTGTTCTGATACCCTCCTGCCTTTCATTCTGGCAGAATAGATGCAGCGCTGTTGAAGAATGTTTCCATGTGGTGTGCCATGTTGGAAATGCCTTATTCCATTTGGATGAAAGCATTCTCCAGATAGTTTCTGGAAATGGTGTGTCACTTGCCTTCGTGAGCTAATACGCACCTCGGAACAAATGATGTTAGGCCTTGGCCAACATATTGCTATAACACAAGGAGCAGCATTTGTGCTCTGGACACTGTGGCAAGAGTCGGGAAGGGCTTGGAAACGGACACTAGAACATGCTGGTCCAGCTCCTCTTGATGTCAGTGAGAAACTTTCCAGTGGAGACCGTGGGAGCTGAACCAGTCTTTAACTGCCCAGGCAAGCTTTACACAGACGGAGGAAAGGCTGGGTCCAGGCAGAATTTACATCGATAGGCTGACAGTTCACATAACAAGGAATAGGGTGGTGGAACTAGGCTGCTGAAGAAGTAAACACTTGAAAGGAGGAAGCACAACTGAGGGAGGACTAAGCGGCAGGATGTACAAAGGAAAGCAAGGTCAAGAGTCACATCCAAGATAGCACTGAGAAAATGTACAATCCTTGCTGGGACGCTTCCTGCCTGGACAATTCCCCAAAGTTCTCAAATAGTGTCCAGAAGCTACTGGAAGAACAGGAAGAAAACACAGGCAGGAGAAGAGGGGCTGCTGGGCCATTCAGATGTTGTCATGAGCAGTAGTAATCCAGACACAATATTTCATGTGAGGTTTTGCCAGTAATTCCTGCTGTCCTTTATTTCCAGACAAACTACCTACTTCTCCTAATGGCAGGCTCAAAAGATACCAACATGCGACACCCTAGGAGTAGACTTGCTTTGCGTTTATTTCCTGCAATAGGATGTGACCTTCTGTTTAGGTCTTCACGTACTTATTTCCTACAATTCTACCAGTGACTAAAATCGTCAATCGATTTCAAGGTAACTCTGTGTGACCAACAAGTTCTGAAGTGGATATTCTCAAAAAGACCGTTTCCTTCCTGATTCCTAGGGTGAGCAGAAGCATTATATGGATCATACTTCAAAAAGGCCACAAAAAAAAAAAAGGCGTTCTTGCCCACACTATATTTCTATTTATAGCTCCAGAGAGAGAGATCCAGCACAGCCCAAAGCATGTTTACTCAGATATAAACCCCGGTATGTTCAATGACGTCTGCTCCCAGATGAGTGTCTGTTCGACCAAGGAGAAAGCACCAGCAGAGGAACCACACACAAACCATGTTAATTTTTCACTTCCTTTCCAGCTTGAAGGGCAGGATGGAAGAGAACACCAGTATCAGCTCTTAATACAGGTTTGAAACTACCCTTAATAGTAATTCAAAGTGAGGCCTGATGGTAAAAAAAACAAAAACAAACAACCCCCCCCCCGCCCCCAGATTGTATCCTATGTCGCATTAACTCACTGTCATTAATTGTTTTTCCACATCATCATGGACAAGATCAATGCCCATCCTCTTCTCCCGGTGAAGCAGGCATTCCTGGGCGACCTGTTTAACATCACAGAAAAAGCTGGTGGAATTATTATTATTCCTTAAAATGCTGTATAATGGGCCTAGTACATATGCTCCATGATTGTAAAGTACTTTCCATATATCTATATTTAAAAGTTTGTATCCCATCTATTTTTGAGAGAGAGAACTTAGGGCAGCAATCAGACAAATCCAGCAAAATCTAAACAATACTATATTGAAAATCCAAATCCAAACAACAATAAAGACAATTTAGAAGAACAATGGTTAACCATAAGGGGGAGGGGGAGGAGGAAGAGACAATGACCCAATGGCTATTAATTAGAATGGAATGGAGTAACCTGGAAGAGGCAAAGGCTAGTTTGAAGGAACCCTGAACAGTTCCTACAATTTTATGAAGAGACATGGCAGCATTCTGTTGTGGGTCCTGCCATTAGCCTGTTAGCTGAACAAGGAGAAAGTGTTTTTTCTATTATATTAAAGATGACCAATGATTCTCTCCACTGTTGCTTGCTATGGCATAATATTAGGAGGTGGCAATGATTTGACTTCTCTCATGATAAAATACTGGAAATTTTATCTACCCTCACATTGATTTACACAACTGCTAACAGTAAAAGCTGAAGCACCAAGGCAAAAATGCAAGCAGCAGCACTAATTTGATTCTCATTTAGGTAGCCGTGTCAACACAGCCAAGATAAAATGATTTGCATATGAAGTTATAATGGAAGCACAGGAGAATACTGGTGCTAGAAAAGTCCGACTTTAAAAAACCAAATACACCTCTGCTGTGCTTGATGCTAATTTTGGGGGGAGATTTAATACCTGGAAGACTCGGATTACTGCCAACTAACCACAGATAAGCTCCAATGAGCCTTAGTAAGAAATCTGAATGGCCGAGCGCAGCAGGTGTTACTGCAAATCAGCAGAACACTTCTGTTTACCTGGAGCGGTGCTTCTGTTTCTGCCAGCGCCCTTTCCAGCCGCTTCTTCATTTCTGTAAGAGCATTAGTCTCCCCGATCATCTCATCTATTTCATGATTGAGCTCTGATTTCCAAAATACTATATCATTGACTCTTTCTCCCAGATTTTTTGTGGATTGCGACTGGGTTTTCCTTGTCTGCTGATCCTTGTCTTGAATCATCCGGGAAGTGTCCACCCTCAGCCGCTCAGCATTGCTCCGTGACACCTCTGATTCCTTGTAGTTTGTCAGATTAGATCTATACCAGTCATCAGGGGTGTACCTAGTAAAGAGGGCTGTTCTGTTGGAAACATAAGGGAGCGCGTTGCTCGGAGTGAGCCCCTGAGAACTCTTGGAGAAGGGTGCCAAAGTTGGAGTGATGGCAGCAACTTTGTAATAGGCGCTAGGTCTCCATGGGAGGCTCAAGCTGTGGGTCAGGGCATAGTGAGGGAATCGGTTCCTGTAGCTTGATGCCATGGTGCTGATGGCAGGCAGAAAATTTGAGGGCGTCGGCCTCGGGTGGGCATATGTTGCTGTCAGGGTAGAGCCCAAGAGCTCCATGATGGCAAGGGACTATCCAGTCACGGTTCCTGTGTCAAGGAGAAGCAAGAACAAGGACACCTTGTATGAAGTCCAGCTTACAAATAGCAGAAGCATTAACCGAGAAGCCCTAACAGCAAGGGCAGGTTGAAAGCCAGCTAACTGGGGTGACGCATATCTGGGTGTCATTAAAAAGATAGCGAGCGATCAGCAATTTCAGTGCAGGCTCCATGTTGCAGAAGCCCTTCAGCAACAGCCTCTGCAAGGCTCCCTTCTCATCACCACCGCCACCAGCTTTGCTCCCTCTTCTTGCTCCTGCTCACAGTGGCTGCCTCTCGCTTGCTTGCTTGGTGGACAGAGAGCCAATGAGCAAGGAGGCCAGGGCATCTGCGGCTCCTGCTTCTCATCCCAGCTGCTGCCTAAAGCAGGGGGTTGGGGGCAGGCGACCAGGCAGGCTGCAAGAATGAAGAGGAGCAGCAAGGCCAGGGGCTCTTGCCAGTGAGGGGCAGGCCTTAGAGGTACCCAGCGATGCCTGGCCTTGATGCCGGGCTTGAGCCATTTAGTTGTATACACGTCCACTCAAAAATAAGTCCCACTGATTTCAGTGATGGTTACGCCCAGGTGTTGGTTTGTAGCCTAAAATATGGTGTTGCTGTTAGAAACATAGAAGCAGGGCAAGTCAGAGCGGGTCTCCCGGGCCATCTAGTCTGACCCCGGCTCCAGACAGCTCCATTCATGACGTGCCTACCATGGGCATGTCCAAATGCTGATGTCTTAATTGCCATGGAAGACACGATTTCAATTTTCTCATGATCTGAAGTTTAACTTAAAATTATCCCACCCACCTATGGGAGCAGTGTTATGAGATTTGCCATGATACAGTAACACTCAGTAATTATAAATATCTTGCAAACAACTTACCCCAAGCAAGGGAAAGTGCTATCATGGCATAATCCTGTTTATGTTTGGATGTGGAATGCTGGGATTTGCTGGACTTTTCCTGCCTAAACATGAGCAGGCATCTACTCTAAGGGGACCTAAATCTCCGGCATCCTCTCATTCAGTGTCCAGACTGTTTTCCTGCTCTTCCAAGTTATTCGCATACAGTCCAACCCCATTAAAGCTGTTGTGGTCACGTGGGTGGCCTCCTGCCTCATCCAAGTGCAGAAGCAAAGTCAAGGTTCATAGGAGAAGAATGGCTTTATTCAGTGTCCATGAGCATCTCTTGCTCATGGACACTGAACGAATGGGCCCATGTTCCTAGTCACATCACAGAGAGCCCGCTGGTGTGGGACGCTGAGTACTAGACCTGGAGGTGGGAAAGTGAGGTTGAAATCCCAGTACAGCCACTTTTCCCCTTCTAGGTAAGTCACTGTCCTTCTCTAGCTATGATTCTCAAGAGGTGAAAAATGAGGCTTTGAGCCCCTCGAGGAAGGGTTCTTCATCAAATCAACTAAAGCGCTTCTGAGGAATCAAGTGCATTGCACAACTTCCATGTGGCTTTCTTGAAAGCACTGCAGCATATGATGTGCTCCAAAAAAAGACTCCCTCTAGGAGAAGTCACCACTTTCTGTCTGATCACGCCTGCATCTTGAGGCCCACGTACTGGGGAGGAAGTCTCATTGAACATCCAAGGAAGCCTAGATAGCACCAGGCTGCAAAGAAGTTTCTCAGGTCTTTCTTCACATACTCCTGCTTGGCTCTTGCCTACACATTGATATTGCAATTCATGGCGATTTGTACAAGGTGTGCAATTTTATTTGAGAGCCAAAATGCTTGGCACACCATTTCTTGACTGACTGTAAAGAAGTGATGCAGCACCGAGGCTGGACATTCCTCCGTTGCCTATCCCTCCCCATCCCACACCAGTTTTGGCAGGAAGATTCTGGCCTGAATGAGGCCAGAGGTTTCCATTACATAAAACCTGAGGAAGGCAGTGTCAATTCATACATCAGGAGGATCCCCTCCATATGTCCTCAGGCATCCTCAGGGAGCCAAGGCTCCATTTGGATGCCAGGAAGCACTTCCTGACAGTCAGGACCCCGAGGGTGTGGAATGGGCTTCCCTGGGAGGTGGTTGAGGCCCCATAGGTGTGGGTGTTCAAGGATAGGCTGGACATGCACATGGTGGGCATGTCGTGAGCGGAGCCAGCTGGTGCCGGAGGTCAGACTAGATGGCCCGGGAGACCCCTTCTGACTCGCTGTTTCTATGTTTCTATGCTCATCCTGTAGGCAGGGAACTGAGTGGTTTAGAATGCATGTATAAGCAGTGGCAGTACAATGATGTGGAGGAGGCGGCAATTGTGGGCACCAGGGCATGCAATAAGGCATGGCATAAGGAAGGCCAGTCTAGTTACGGGTGGGCTGGTTGCAGGTCTGCAGAATCCGCTTTGGGATTTTTATTAGAGCCAGTCCACCAACTGGAGCCTGGTGCAAAAAAGTGGCTAGGGAGGTGGGCCAGATTAAGATGGGAAACGAGGATCTGGTGCCTAGGACATGCCATGAGACATCCACTGAGATGATCTTCATGCACAAGCTCAAACCTACATCTGGCTTACTGCAGGAGTGGGACTGAAACCTAAAACTTTGCACAAAGATATGTTCAAAAGGCAGTAACAGGCACCACAGCCTTAGTCAGGGTGTCTTCCCCGCCCCCCCCCCCACATGTGACTGAATTCATTGCATAGGATTGCAGCCTAACAGCTGTGGCAAATCAGTTGTGGATGCCCTAGGAGCATAGGAAGTCACCTTGTGCTGCGCTGCACCACTGGCCCACCTAGAGATGCCAGGCCCTCCCTGCAATCACTGACTTGCACCTGCCTCATTATCCCTCAGGGGCCATGCAGAGACCTCTGAAGACGTTTACGGCTACCTCTCGGCTTCTGCTGTTGTTTTCCTTCGTGATTTCCATTTTTGTAAACCATCAAAATTGTGACATAGAGATACATGTATGTGTGTGTTTCTGATAAGACAGAAGTGTTTTAAACAAACAAATGGAATTAAACAAGTAAACATAAAATTACCCCTGTCCTACATCACAGTGGAAGTCACATTATCTACATAGCATTTACATGCATTATTTAGCATTACATCTCCTGTTGTTGGCATGGAATCATTTATCTAGCAAGGCATCAGCACTGTAAAGCTCAATATAAGAGAAGCCAACCATTGTGCCCTTCTTGTAAGTAGGAGTGGCCGTGGCCCCACTTTACCGAGGACAGAATTCTGTCTGAAAGGCTGTCAGTAGGCAGGGCTCTAGGTGAAGGTGCCTTCTGCCCAGTCAAAGTCCTGTTTAAAGATGAAGAATCCTAAGAATGAAGTCTTCCTGTTGCCCATCACTGAGCAGCATCTCATTACAAACTGGCCAAGCACGTAGGTCTTACCAAGTACAGTGACGAGTTTTATATTTCTATTTAAATTATAGCAATCATTTCTATGTGTGTGAGAAAGAGGAAGTGAGAGAATAAGGACAAGAACCCAGCTCTGATCCTTCCCTTTATCTACTTGAGCCCTGCTGATTTGATTCCAGAAGAGGCAGGCCATGCAGATTCTGTTGCACAAGTGGGACCCACCATTTCCGTAACAGAGATTTTGTGCTTCCCTGCAGAAGCCCTGGAATGAGCAGAAATGCTCCTTTCTCAATTGAGACAAGTCATAGAATCATAGAATAATAGAGTTGGAAGGGACCAAGAAGGCCACTGGGTCCAACCCCCTGCTGTTGCAGGACACCTCGTTACAGCATCCCACTTAGGTGACCATCCAGTTTCACCCTGACTGTCTCTAGTGTGGGAGAGCCCACCACCTCTCCGGGCAGCTGGTTCCACTGTCGCATTGCTCTGACACTGAGGAAGCTTTTCCTGATGTCCAGCCTGAATCTGGCCCAAATTTAGCAAGCTCTGCCAACCTGTCCCATTCTAGAAATCAGAATTTTTGCTCATTTTTGGTTCCTCTGGAAGTGCTAAATCTTCATTCTGCAAGTGGTAGAGTCCTAATTGCAGTTAAGAACTGGTAGCTTACAAGGGAATTAGTGGAAGCCCCATTGGGTTCACCCATCCATCCATTCACGCACAGACATACGAATACAAATCTGTGTCCTCGCCTTGGTGATGCATTGCCTCTTTTTGGACAGTATGTTAAAAGCCACCCTTCTTGTGAATGCCCAGATATATCTTCATAGTGGAAGATATGAAGAACGTTAGAGTAATAGATCTTGCTCTGATCCCAGAAGGCATTTCCTACATGCCCACGAACATGTAGCTATAGTAAGTGAACATCCTTCTGGGACAACAGGTCAAAAATGTGCTCACTCAAACTCCCATCCAACCTGGGCTCCAGAATCATATTGAAGCACATCTGTGCATGTTTGCACACTTCAAGAAGTAAAGTGCTGAGCTCTTCAACACCGGCAGAAGCCCAATCCAGGGGCTGTTTCTGAACATTTGGCCTGTGGGTTACCCCAACTATATACACATTTCAGTCAGGATCATTCAAGTTGGCCCTAGCGGAGGATGATGCTGTGGGAAATCAACGCAGCTCAGCATGGCCAACTGTCGTGTTGACCAGGTGAGGCTCACCATATACTTTGTTTCATCTTGCAAGTACGCATTATGTGGATGCCACATGTTTGGTAAATATTCAGAGAAAATGATCACCCAAAGTCAGCTCTGACAGTGTCTTTCTAAAAAATACAATAGCACTCTGAAGTGAACTTAAAAGCTCACCTTGGAAAGTCTAACCACACAGAGAAATTATTGGTTCAAGTAACCACAAGCTGACATACAATCCATTGCGCTTTTCACTTAGCTAATTGTATGCCAGTAATCTAATATTCATGGCAATCCAATGTAAATAGCTGGGAGTATATAATAGACAATCAACAAGAGCAAACACAGAAGAGTCCATTGTGCTGAGGAAAACCTCACTTCAGTTGCCAGAGTAGATCATCAATAAAAAGGGGTCTGTTTCTATATATTGGGCACAGTTAGGAAAGACGCTAGCTAACAGTGGGCATGCTGCTCTAGC